AGTATATATGCTGTCAAAATACAGCCGTTTCTATGGACATGAGCACCAAATTCAAGAGAGTGGTTGCCCGCAGTCAGGAGAACACAATTAGGGAGGTGTATAGAGTGGTGGCTTCAACTGTGCTTGCACTAGTTTTCTTTAGAAGCTGCAGGATAGATAGTAAAGTCGTTATTGCATTATTCTTTGAGATTTTGTATGTGTGTTTTTACAACAAAGTATTCAAGGAAAGTACACATTTAAAAAGACAATAGAGAACTCATTGCAACCCATGCTATGAATCTGTGACTGTCCCGCCCCCGCTCCCGCCCCCGGTTCCAGACGAAAGCTCTTGGCCTGAAGAACTCGTTGGTGTCAGTCAACCACCGCTTTGCAGAGCCTCTGCCGGCCGCATCTGAGAGAGAGGCCTTCCTCCTGGGATGCCCTCTGTCCGGGTGGGAGGGAGGCGGAGGGAAGGGAAAGAGGGAAACCCTTCCAAGGCGTGTGTCCGTGCCCCCAGCTGACCCGGGTCCACCTGCCCCTCGGGAGGCGCGGTCTCTGCCTGAACCCCACACGGGTGTGAACATTGGTGTTGGCATCAATGACCCGTCGCTTCGGCTGCCAACAGTGGCCAGTGCCTAGCAACCACACATCGTTCCCCCAAACATGCCCCGCCCTCTGGGTCCCCATGGAGACCGTCACTCTCCTACTGCTCTCAACTTTGGGGACGCAAGACACACCCTTCCCAGCTCCCCCACCTCCGAGTCGCTGGGTGGGTGTGGATCGGGCCAAGAGAGCAGCAAAGGGACGCTGTGGGCTCGTCCCTCCCACAGCCAGGTGACTCTTGTTCCTTTTAATGCCCGGCTGCAGCCCCAGGGCCACACGCTGGATGCTGGGAGCCGACCCTCCCTGAAGGCTCCCTAGAGACAGGAGACACGGAGCGGGCAGGAAAACGGGGGGCTCTGTCGACAGGTGGGGACACGCAGCCGTCCCGAGCTCAGCTGCCTTCCCCGCTTGCCTCTGGCGGGGCATGGGAATGCCAGGCGGCCCGTGTCGCTGGTGGCCTTCCAACGGCAACTCTACCCCTCACCCCTCCGCCCTCCGCCCCGCTCCCCTGGGTGAGACACAAGGCCAGGGCGACGGGTGTGACAACTAGCACCTGCCCTACACACTGAGTCACACAAGCCTTCTCACCACCCCCGTCCAGCTCCCCGGCTCTCCCAGGCTGGGGGAGGCGAGCAGTGCCGACCAACGGAAAGGCCTGTGTCCGCCCGGGGCGCCCACCCTCCTGCTCAGACCCCGAGCCCCCGGCCCAGCCGCTGAGCAGCAGCAGCAGGAGCGTGTGGGGTGCCGGGCAGCCTCGCCCCGTCCCGGGGGCACTGCCCCTGCGGGCGCAGCCTGGACGGAGCTGTCACAGCCAGCAGGACGGGGCACGTGACACATGGCCAGGCGGAGCGGGGAGAGGCAGGAGGCAGAGCGGCCGAGAAGGAGTGGGGCACGCCTCTCAGTGGCAGAGTCCTCCCTCTCACTGTCCCCTCCTCACGGGCAAACGGGGAGAAGCAGCACCTGACAGATGGTAATAAAGGTTACAAATGTGTGTGTGTGTGTGTGTGTGTGATACATGGATATGTATCTGCGTGGGAATGTGTGCATGTGTGTGTGATACATGGATATGTATCTGTGTGGGAATGTGTGCATGTGTGTGTATGTGTACGGACATGTATGTGTGTGCTATACGAACACGTGCATACATATGTAAATGTGTACCTGTGCGAATGTATCTGGATATGTGTGTGTGCTGTATTACTGTGTACATGTGTGAACATGTGTGTGCTATACATACATGTATAAATGTGTAAGCGTGTGCATGTATCTGGATATATGTGTGCATGCTGTATGAATATGTATATGTGTGTGATCGTGTATTTGTATGCTATATGGGTGTGTGTGCATGTATGTAAATGTAGATCTATGAATATATTTGGACGTGTGTATGCTGTGTAAATGTGAACATGTGTGTATGTATATGACTATGTAATGTGTGTATAGGTATGTGAATATCACATTGCATACAGAGTGACTGTTACATGACTATTTCCATGTCCCCGGCCCCAGCTGAACCAAGCCTCCCGTGGCCCACCCCA